AAAAAAAAAAAAAAAAAGAAAAGAAAAAAAGAAAATAGTTTCTCTGAACCTCTAAATTCAGGTTTCTGCCTCCAAAAATTAATCTTTTGTGAAATGGAGAAACTACTGACAAACTTTTCTGCCTATTCTAAACCATCTTGCAATGTTGTGTGAAAAAAAATTACTCCCATTATTTATCCTTATAGTCTAGCAGAAAGACGAGAGTTCAGTGTAGTATTTAACAGCTTTTCATACAAGAAGCATATGAAATTTTAGAACTACAGTTTTTATGTTGAATGAAAAACAGAAAACTTCAGTGTTATGAAGTTAAACTGCTTTTCAAAAACACCGAGTAACTTGCTCACTTGTGCAGTGATTTAGTGGCAGGGTTTGAACTATAACTTGTCACCTTTTTTATCTCAAATGTTCTTTCCAAGTTTCCAAGACTTTGTTGAACGCTCATGCTCTGGATCATCAAGTGTCAGCCATGGAGGGAAAAAATCCTGTACACAGCTGAGGAATGCAGTGCCGACCATTACACACAGGTGGTGATCGTTTGTCTTTACCTAGGCACTATAAATTGAAATCTCCTGAGTTATGTATAAATAAAAGTCCTGAAAATCCAGCAGCCCTTTTCAACTTCTGCTTTTAAAAAAATTCACTTTTCCTTACCTGCTATTATAACCAAGTTGCTATGTTCTTGTCTGATCCCTTTTGGCCCACTTTGTTGAAGTATGTTCCTATGTTGACCAAGAGAAAGCTTGTTACTTAAAATGAGAATAATATCCTCTGAAGGATATTATTATTCTGCAAACAGAGGAGACCTCAAAAAGCCATAAAATCTATCCCTTAGGAGCAGAGGTCTCAGCCATGATTGGGAATCATCAGCATAGGTGTAATCAGGTCAAAAATCAGTTAAACCATTCTGCTAAGAATTCAGAGACACAAATTTCTTAATCTGTTTTAGTTGTTAACAAGTCCTTCCAATCTAATGTTAGTGATAACAATTCCTGATCACTTGACTTTTATGAATATAAATTTATATGTCAACTTTTTAATCAAAAAATCTCCTTTTTCGAGCGGGTATATGTTGAAGTTATTGGGGGAAATTTGTCCCAAAGGTGAGCAAAGCAGAATATGAGAATTAGACGCACTACAATTTCTCCAGTTTATTTGTTCTCCTGCTTGGCCCTTTGGCCCATTCTTGTTATTCCCTCCTGGCTTCTCTGGTGTTGATAATTTATTTTTCCCCTTGTATTAATAATAACAAAAGTACATTTATTACTTTTGTAGTGACTGAACCTCAGCAAGAAAGGGCAGGAAGTTAAGTGAATTCCTCCCTTCTGTAATCTTAGTGAAGGCTTTCTGGTGAGTGGCCCCAGGTTAGTGGAGAAAACATATGCAATGTCCTCAGTGATACGATATACCCTGAACAATATTATAGGTAGGGAGACCTTAAAATTTATCATCCAAACAAGAACATTTCTGAGGATGGAAGGGTTCTATCAGTAATTATGTCAGGACAGTAGTAGTAAAAACTCTGTCATTCTAGACAAACTGAGACATAATGTCTCCCTAATTATGTGGACTAGGGCATTTTCCAATACTTGTTAACTTAAGGAAATTGTGAACTTCAGCTTGTGAAATCTCTCTTTACCAATTCCATTTTGTCTGCTTTTCAGAATTCCTATAAGTGACTTTTTCTTCTTTTTTTGCCAACAAAATGCCCTGTGCCCCCCGCCCCATACTGCAGCCTTTAGAAGATGTCCTTAACTCAGAGTTGGGTTTAAGAATCAATTAAGAGATAAAAGGGGCTCAGCACCTGTAGCTCAAGTGGCTAGGGCGCCAGCCACATGCACCAGAATTGGCAGGTTGGAACCCAGCCCGGGCCTGCTGAATCACCATGACAACTACAACCAAAAATAGCTGGGTGTTGTGGCAGGTTCCTGTAGTCCCAGCTACTTGGGAGGCTAAGGCAAAAGAATTGCTTGACCCCTAGAGTTTGAGGTTGCTGTGAGCTATGACACCATAGCACTCTACCAAGGGTGACATAGTGAGACTCTGTCTCAAAAAAAAAAAAGATAAAAGGCTAAATTCAAATAAGATTTTTTAATAGTATTAAAGTCTAAATTAATGCTTATCTTTATAGTAAAATGCAGAGTATGAGAGAGTAGGGCACATAAAGTTATTATTTAATACATAATAAATTTTAATAACAATAAAAATTATTATATTTGTTTATTAAAATAAGAAAGAGCAATAGTAAAGTTAAATATTAAAATGTGTTGTCTTCCATAACTTTAGTTTCTGAAAAGAGTACTTGAGTTTGCCTTTTATGTAGTCTATACTGGCTACCTTCAATGTTCAATGAATCTTTTGCAATTACTATTTCTGTAATTGTTATTACTTATTTTAACAAGTATGACAATTTTATTTTCATATAGTACAAAGTAATACAAATCCTGATTTAACAAGTATTTGAAATTTAAGTATATTGATATCCCAAATTACCTTCCATGAATATTTTTGCAGAAATCTGCCAAAGCACAAGGAACCAAATTTTTATTAAAAGATATAATTATGAGCAAATAAGACTGTTTTCATTATAATGATTATATACTGGAATGAGTGACATCAATTCAGTGGATGATATACCTACTGCATATTAAAGGTAACAAAATTTTCTCTTGTGTTCAGTATTTGCTTTTAGATAGCCTCTCCCTGAAATCCAGTACATAAATATATGTAATTATAAGTAGAATTTTTCTGTTAAAAAGTGCTTGAATGTACAACAAAGACCCAAATATTTAACCAGTTAAATATTTTTTAAAAACACTTTACTAGAGGTCCTCGAACTACAGCTTCTCCCAATTTTCCCTGGTCACCTTCACCCTGAAAAACTGGAAGAAGCATACCAGTCTAAATCAATATATTTTAAATTCATGAATTATTCTATGGTCTTAAATTATTTTACATGGGTAATCCATGTTAATCGTAGAAAATATAGAGAAGTATACAAATAAGTCACCCCAATCCCACCATTTAACTATAAATACCAATAACATTTAGATGCTATCCATTAGAAGTTTTTCTAAAGAGAAAGAAAGAAAAGAAAATGTATGTTACCAGTGTGTATGTGGGAGGGGATTACTTAAAAAAGTGGCGCCTGTGGCTCAAAGGAGTAGGGTACTGGCCCCATATGCCAGAGATGGCAGGTTCAAACCTAGCCCCGGCCAAAAAATGCAAACGCGAACCATAGCTACAAAGATTCAGTCATTATTTTCATTTTAATTTTTCTTATGATTTTTGTACTATACACCATTTTTAAAATGTTAGTCTTTTCTTTCACTGGTTATATCTTTTATATCATTCAGGGAAACCCTTTTTTACTCCTCAAATATTCACCTAAATTTTTGTTCTAGTCATTTTATAATTTCTTATATAGATATTTGATTACCAGTAATTTCTTTTGATGTAAACTAAAACACAGGAATCTATTTTTTTTTCTTGGTAATCGGTCACTTGTTCTAATTTCACTTATTAAGTAAAATATTCTCTCCACACAGGTTGGAAAATTCATTTTTAACATATACTAAATTATTAAATATACTTGGCTCTAGACTTCTATTCTGCTCTACTGATCTGCTGTATGATGTTGCCAATCCACAACATTTTCATTTTTGAAATTTTGTAATACCTTCTAATTTCAGTTAGGGAGAATTTTCTTACCTTTATTTTCCATTAAGGATTATGCTTATTTTTTTAGATTTTCTTAAATGTCTCCTTTTCCAGATGAACCTTAGAATTATTGGGTAAGTCTTTGCAAAAATACTTCCTTTGTATTAAAACTCCATCAAATTAATAGATTAGGATGAGAAGAATTAGAATTTTTATAATGCTGAATCTTTCAATCCTGAAATACAGTGTATCTTCTTATTTAGTTACATGTTTTCTTTTTCTTTTAATTAATAAAGTTTTGTTCTTTTCTTCAAAAAAAAAATTTAAACCTGATTTTCTCTCCATTCCTACTCCGAAGAGAAAACAATTTTAACACTTCTGCATACTTTCAGGTAATTTTATACATATGTGAATAGTGATGTATATCATATTTATTCCCTTATGTAAACACATGGAAGCACGCATGTAGCGACATGCATGCCCAGAAACTTGTTTATTTCCTTGAAGATCTGAGTATTTTTGCACATATATATCTAAATTTATATCTATATCACATACCTCATTTTATTGACAGCTCCATAGGAAAGAGAATTTTTTTTAAAGACTGTAAAAGCTTTCCCTGGTACTCTGTCCTGAGAGCTGTAGAATAATTAAGCAAAATGAAAATACACATTGAATGGTAATCCAAAATGTATGTTTCTATTATTCAATTCACATTTTATAAATTCACACCAACAAAATAATAATAGAGTGTAGTGTTAACTTTGGGATGGATAAAATTTCACCTGGTACTTTGATTTATACTAGTACCTATTTTGAACCTTTTAGGGCTTCTGCACCATATTATACTTTCATTCACATTGCTGCACGGCACTGTGCCAGGCAAAGATCACATTTATACTTCACATTACTTAATATTAACTCTTATTGATGAAGTTGATGGTTTGGGTTGTTTTCCATGGATAACCCTAGGACATTTAGAGTTCTGAATATCATAAGTAATTTCTTTCTAAGCATTTTGAAAACCTTGGATGATTATAAATCTTTTTGGCCACACTTTACACCACCACTACACCAAAAAGGCATTACTATACTCATTTTATAGATGAGGAGCCTAAAGCTCATGAGAACAAACATTTTTAGGATGATGTAACTAATGGTTTACGGAATAGGTATTCAAACCCAGGCTTTTCTGCATCCAGATCCACGCTAGTAATATCTCTTCATGCTGATTCTACAAGGTCCTGAAAGGCAAAAGACACTCTTTTTTTTTTTTTTTTTTTTTT